ATTGGAAGTTTCTAGGGCTTAGGTTTTAGAGACAAAAGCTTTAGAGACTAAGTGAATTGTGAGTTCTGTGATTGCATTTTCCATATTTTATATAAAAATACATGTGTTTATGTTTCAAGGGTCCAAATGATGAGGGTGTATAGATATATTGGAATGATGCTGCACAAACAGCTCAAGTCAGACTAATGACAAAAGGTTACGCAAATACAAATCTACTTTTTTTGGTTCAGAGTTTAGGAAAACAACTGGACCGTGCCCATAACATATTTGTCAAATGTGGAAGAAGACCACTCATATTTATGTTTGCTATCTCTCATAGGGCATGGATCAACTGATTCTTTGTTGACAACCAAGGGTTGCAATTGTACACTTTAAACTCACAAGTTACCAAGACTCCAAAATAAAAGGACCTGTGGGGAAACAATTTAACACCTGGCTCTCTCTGACAGGTCCGGGAACTGATAATGTGACCCTAGACCCCCGCTTCAAATAGCTTCAATGTTGCTGGGCCCAAACAAGCATGTCATAAAAATACATCTTGCGAAATAACCTGTGATCCTAAATGCTGAGAGAAAAAAGTAAATTCACTTGACTTCTGATCTATATTACTAAATCTATTGAGTGTTTTGGTGGGTGTGACCTATTGAAGTTCATTTTAGGTGATGAGCAGAGCCACACAGGAGCAGAACTGTAGGCCAAGCCTCCATATGGAGCCATTTACTGTACATGGCGTTAATAAACAATCTATGAACAGATATTCTGACAATGAGCGGCATCTAATAGAACTAGTTTCAGAGTGAAATACAGAGAGGATGAATGTGCTGCCACACCTCACCTCACTGGCAGAGTTCTGGGTATATAACGACAACACAAGGGAACCAAGGCTATCTATATCGGTGTCTGATGTCAAAGTCAGACCAGCTGCTCCAGGCCGCATCAGTGTGACATAAATTGAATTTTTGTGTAATCCTTTAAAGAATGCATCTGTATGAAGGCATTCATTTTTGTTGTTTTAAAATAGAAGTAATACTTTATACAACTTCACAATCCCTTTAATATTGAGTGACACAGCAGGGCCACATGCCATGACACATCACAGCAGAGTGCACAAATCGTCCAGCAGTTGCTTTTTTACTAATCTGGGGGGAGCGGGTGGCATTAGGGGCCAAATGTCACTGGAAAGAAAGAGACATGTGGAAATAATAATGTGCGGATCAGACTGTCAAACCGTGTACTGCTCTGTCATAAGGGCTCATTAATAAGACAAGATGAAAAGAAAGAAAGATCTTGATAATAAAGATTAAAAACCAACCGATGAGAAATATTAAATCTTAAATCCACAAAGGGTTCAAAACTCTTTCTCCTGTGTTCAGGCTTTCTTAGAGATGAATCATGATGAGGTTACAAAAAGGCCTTAGTCAGACTTTCTTTGTATCTTCACATAGACTTGAGATATTCTGGGGCACAGGAAATTAAAAAGTGTTATAGATGTTTTTATCTGATGCGTTTTAGTTAGATAGTTTTGCCTGAAAATAAATGGAAAATGTAGCATGATGACTTTTGAAAGTCCTTACCTCCAATTCACTTGTTGTATAAATGATAGGGTAAATGTGATGCTTTATGACAATTCTTTGACGTTAGCTGTCTACCTGAAGCGTTCAACGTCTGGTCAATCACACTGGTATTCTTTATGTTATTACTGTCTGTAATAGTGTAAAAAATATATTGATTTGCATTATCGTAAACTCATGCAGGTTGGGTATAGTTGTATGCCTTACACAATAATCAAAAGATCATCATCTTCAAAACACAATGTCCTCTACTCTGAGGCGGTGAGAACGAAACTGGTTGTATCCGCTACTTTTCTCTCGCGTATAGCCCGTTCGTTCACATGAGGCCGTAACGGAACCGCGGAAACGGACCCCGCAAACGATAATGGGTCCCAAGGTGGATAGATCTGCAAACGGAACGCTCTGGGGGGCCAAACGGCTCCGTGTGTACGCCCTATACGATAATTTCCTGATAACGATGAAGCCATAGCCCCGCCACCTCTGCTGCTCACTGCTGTAGCATGGTCAGTAGCTACTGCTAGTGCTACTGCTACTGACCATGCTACAGATCAGGGGTTTTCAAAGTGTGGGAAGGTGAGCCTCCCCTCAGAGAACATAAGAACAGCCGCGCCCCCCCTCCCAATTATTATTGCTATTATTATTATTATCATTGTTGTTGTTGCTATAATGCAGGGGTATTCAATTGCATTTCAAAGAGGTCCAGTAAGATAAAATGAAGACTGTTTCTCTCCTCTTGTCTCGTCTCTGTATGTGTGTTTGAATCTATCGTGCTGGCTCACTGACTGCACCGATTTGATTGGCTGAGTAGCGTCACCTCCTTAAAACATTAAACAATAACTTTTTTAAACCTTTTTATCTTTATGTTTTAAACATATTGTATACAACTCCCCTACTACTTGGACTATTCCTTGCACCCCTCTAGAATAAGCCCAAATGGTCTCAACCATATTGCATCAGTAATAACGTGCACTTTGTTGTTATCGTTATAACAAGATCGCAAGGACACTGGTAGCGATCGGACAATTGAGTGTTGTTCAGTTTGTGTGTTGTGGAACATGCGTGTCCGTGCACGAAAATATACCACACACCCAATTACAATAGCATGTTCAATTCACTACCCTGGAAGTTAATAAAGTTGTTAAAGTTGGAACAGCCTGTGGACAGCCGTTCTTCCTTGCATGTCAGTCGCCGACACCTTCTTACAGAGGACAGGCAAATCTAGCTGCAGCACGACCCGTATATTTTCGCACGCCGTGTTCTCAACACATATTTTTAAAACATTTTTAACATTTTCAACATCGTGGATAAATCCTTATATGTTCCCGGCAACACACTGAACGTCAATTTTGCCTCCTTATTACACTCACCCCTACTTTAGTGGGAACAATGAGTCTGCGTCTTTGATGCACACAGGAATAAACGCAGATCATACTCGGCACTTGATTTTGATCAAAGTCCATGCGGAAAACCCGCACTCACACAGGTGGGTGGAGGTGAAGGGAATGAGCACTTTTACAGCCTTTTTGGCGAGGTGGGGGAACTCGGTCTCCACAGACAGCCAACAGTGGGCAAGTGTCACTTTTCTCATCTTTTCTCGTTATTTTTTGTCTCACGCTGCGCCTCCCCTGAAGCTCTCTGGCGCCCCCCAGGGGAGGCGCGCCTCACACTTTGAAAACCGCTGCTACAGATGTTAGTGCAAAATCTACAGCTCGACCATGCTACAGATGTTAGTGCAAAAATCGACAGCTCCTCTACCACTACCATCAGCAACAAGTGGACATGGAGAATTACATGAACTACATGTTGCTAAATCTACCGCGGGACATAAACAGAAGGGCAACCATGCTCGGGGGTCTTCTTCGCTGCTTTTGGTGTATTTTGTGGCAGAAGTACAGCGCCACTTACAGGCCCGGCATATGTACTACAGCGTTTCCAGTGGTCTCGTGTGAACGAACACGTTAAATGAGCCGAATGCGTGTGAACGGAATACTTTTTTGATAACGAATTCGGTCCGTTTGCGCTCCCGTGTAAATGGGGTCTGAGTTTAGCAGTATGTCATCTGTCAAGCCCTGGTGTTTTAGTCAGAGAAAGAGCAGATGTATCACCAGTGATCACTTTAACTCCTCCTCATGCCTGTCTTTAGCATGTCAACAGCATGTACGAGGCAAAGTCTCTAAGAGCAAGTGCCTCCTGCTGTTTGGCTGTCACCACACTCGCTATGTTCACAACCTCTCATGTTGTCCTTGAACAGACTTACAAAACATTTCCAGCCTTTCAAATGCTTTGTGTGGCTTGATTTCTTCTAAAATTGAAGCAGCAAAAGCAAATATCCCATTTACCTCTGGAGACATAATAAGATCTGCAACCCGCAGGCTGAAAGTAGTTAGCAGAGTGCCAGGGATAGGCTGGGTGCAGACACTCCCACCTCTCATACCACACTAATTCGTGGGCGAGGCACGCACATTTGGAAAGTATTTGACTAATAATAAAAACATATGCCCACAGACACGGAGGCTCCACTATGATAGTTCCGAGTGGACAGCCTTTACATCCCTTTGATCCCATAGGATACTCAGCAGCCTCTTGTGGTCAGCCTGGGAAAGCCCAGAGTACACATTAGGGCCAAGTTTGAGAAACTAGAAAGGATAATGTATAAAAGGTCCAGATGGAATAAATTCATTAATTAAAGCCTGATTGAAGGGTTTGAAACATGTCCGATTACGGAAGAAAGACACTGCAGGAGACAGCAATTGTTTCTTGCTAAAACATGGAAGATGCTATTCACCAAAAAAATATATCAACCATAAACTCACTCCATTTACACTAGGCTATACCACAGGTGCACTTGTAAGCAAAGTCATGAAAGTATAATCTGAGCAGTTGCAATTAAGGCCTTTTGACAGGATAATTTTGTCCGGTCATAATGGGAAAAGCACAGGTGTTGCTAATAATTTAATGTTGCCTCCATTGTATTCAAATATACCAGAAAGCTGTATCAACAATGTGACATCATGCATACCTGGACCCTGAAGCAAGAAGCATCTAAATGTTTTTATTTATGGGCATGCATATTGCAGCTCTGATGGATTAATATCAGGCGGCTCCAGAAACAACACTGAAACTGCAGGACACACCTTCTTTTATTTATTTATTGAAAGCAACCTTAGAAGAAAGCCCTGTGGCATGATGTCGTAAGTTCATCTCAAACTCACTTGAACCTGAAAAACTGTTTCATAACAGTTAAATAGGAGGTTTGAATTTTGAATAATGTGTTGCATGATTACAGATATGTAATAAGATAAGATAAGAAGTACTTTATTGATCCCAATTTGGGAAATGTTTGCATTGCAGCCGCATCAATTATATAATGGCAACTATTTAAATGTTGTTCAACCCTTTTTTTTGTGTGTGTTTCAGTTGATAACTTGCCTTTTTTGTGCTGACAGACCTCCGTAGTACTCGGCCATTGGGTCCGGTCACTCTGGTACTACTGTTACTGCCAGAAGGAAGTGTGCTGGCAGACGGGGGGCTGGAGGGAGTACCAAGGGGAGCGGGCTTCTTCTCTGCAAGGTTCCTTTGGGATGCCACGTTGTTGTTCTCATTGAAGGACAATGCCTTCTTCTCCTGGGCGTCTCCACTGCTCAAGTCGATGTATTGTCCACTTTTGATTAGGTCAAGATAATCTTTGAGTAGTGACTGTGTTGCATCATCACTCAGCCAGTTGAGGAAAAGCTCATCCACCTTCATTTTAAGAACAGGCTGTAGGACTTGTGGTGACGGCATTTTGCCGGATATTACTTATTTCCACACAAACGTTCCTGTGTGAAAAAAAAGGATCAACATTATCATCACAACACAGTACACCCCTCTGCAGTGCTGTAAAGTAAAAGTATATTTAATCAAGTACTGTACATACAAAGTATTTAAAATGAGCTGCACCTTAGCCAGCTTTGGTAACAGATTAATGCATCAATAATTATGATCAAAACATGATATCAATTGGGCAAATCTGCATAACGATTCGTTTTACTTTTGGTAATTAAAGTATATTTTGATGCTAATACTTTCTTACTTTTACTTGAGTAACATTTTGAATGCAGAACTTCTACTTGTAACAGAGTGCACTGGTATTTATACCTTTACTCGAGTACTTCTCCTCAACCTCTGCCCCTCTGTATTTACAGCACCACTTCAACTGACATAGTGACACTGTATAACCAAGGTATATTAGTAATGCATTGCAGTGTGATACAAAGTAACACTTGCACACCAGTTGCTGTGAGCTGTCCTTTACTTTGAGTACATAACACAACACAACACTCACTAACATTATTGAATTTTAGCGCGAACCATCAATGTTTTTTAGCCCACAGGCAAAAGGGAACGTGAGCCCATATTGACCCTGATAACATTAGCTGTTATTTTTTACTCAGGAAATACAGCTGCTTAAAGCAAGTGTTTACTTAGCTAGCGTTACTTGAGGCTGCTAGACTATTTACTGAATTGCCATGGTCGTAAGAGTTAGTAAGTGTGTGTTATAAGCTAGTATAAGAGAAACGGGCAACAACAGTTTGTTAGCTACTATAGCTTTAGCAAGCTAACGTTAGAGGGCTAAATACGGTACCAACCTTATAATGAATGCACGGTAACGTCAAATGCGTTGATGTGAATCTACATTACTTCCTTCATGAGCAAAGCTGCAACACACATGTCTGTTTACCTGCCGATTATAAACGCAGCGCTGTATCTCCGGTGTTCATTTCGCTGAGCAAAATCAGCGCTACTTCTCAAACTCTCGTTCCCCTGGTAACCACCAAGAGTTAACGCGAGATCTTCCTCGGGGTGAGAGTTCATCCAGACCCCAACAGGAACGTGTACTTTTACCCCCCACCTGTAATTATTCGGCTTCTTTGAGCGGTGTGTTGGGTAAAAATATAATTCTCCTCTCAAGCATGATTTCTACTGCCACAGTTGTCTTCAAATACATAGGTATTCAAAGTGTCTGCTCAAGGAAAAGTAACCATATTTTGGTTTAAAACGGGCCTACTAAGTCCTGCACCCGAAATCGACCTTAAGTACAATTAAGTAAGTATTATCAGTAAGACATTTGTTGTTTGTATATAAATAACTCATATTCTCACTCTCTTTGTGTCTTTCTGTTTGTTTATGTTATACAATATGTAGAAGCCAATGTTTTAAAAAAAAATTGTTTTTCTTTACTTTTCCCTCCAAAATCACTTCCTGAAAGTTACCTGTTTTTATTTATGCAAAAATACACATAAAACGCTGATATAAAAGGTAGGTTGTGGGATTTGTAAGTTAAAACATACTTATCTTGTTTAACACAACTATATCAATGCCTTGTGTTCATCACATTTATAAATACCTGATCAATTTTTTTTAATCAATTTATAATTGTTTGTTTCTGCAATGCAAAATCTAGATTTGAATTGGTCATCATCACAGGTCTTATTATCAGGAAACCAGCTCTGTGTGTTAAGCTTTTTTAAACTAGTTCCTGATTCTCTTGCAGGAATAACAATGATACACCTTTGCCTGATTCCCCTTATTTTCTCTCCTCAGAGCCTTTACTCATTGGAGCAGGTGAGCTCCTGGTGTGAAGAGTCCCAGACAGCGTGGCTCCCTCGATGTGTCCTCATCGTAGAAAGCATCAACACAGTGGATAAGGGATATCAAGAGGTCAGTTTAAATAACGGGCACTATATTTGACAACCAGGGCCTAAAATAAAGTGTACTCTTTTTTTTATACATTCAAAATCTGTATCTTAAATCCAACCATCCACATTAATTAAATGTGTTTTTATGAAGAAATCCATTTTGTAGCATGAAAACGACTGAAAGAGATTTCATGATAACAGGACAATCAGGCATCAATGCTAGAGTAACAATTTCCCTTCGGAATTATTTTCACTTACGCAAGCATTGCAACCAAAAACAACAACTTGATTACACTGTCTCTGTGAATACAGCCTGCCTGGGTAATTATACTTAACCATTTTGGTCTAGACTAATCTTTCCCTTTTTGCAATGATTATAGCTTTAAACAAAACATTTATATTTTTTTCAATTAAGTGCTTTTGTGTTTCATCTATTATGTCATTATTTAATGCTAATGCTTCTATTCTATCATTACTGACATGCAAAGTTGAAAAGTTGATCCTTGATTAAGACCATCACAGAGTTGTATGTTGATCTACCATGAAATACAAGGCATTGACTGATATGGACTTATTTATATGGATATTTCTCTGTGTTTTTAAAAATAAAAGGCATTTGGGACACCTGAAATCTTATTAATGACTACATTCAAAGTGCCTTTAGCTTTTTGTAAAGAGCAAATTAACGTTGGTTGCATGGTTGTGAAAAGTATTGACTGAATTCTCCTTATTGCTTCCCTTGATAACACCAGCAAATCATATCTGAAACATTCAGAGCTGTCTGAGGCGCAGCACGTAATGAGAACCCTCTTTGTTCTTTCTAACAGCGGGCCCAACATATGTTTTAGAGCCTAATCAATATCAGAAATGAGAAGAGAAAAAGTGAAGGTCTTGAAACTTTAAACCTTGCAACTTTTCAAAGTGTAATTACAGTGTACAAATAGGATTTTACCCAAAGCAGTGTGCATGTTGTTTTTTTACGCCTTGAAGGACATTTCAAAGGTTTGGCCGAAGCTGAAACCACAGGGGGACAGCTGGTTAGTGTAGGAAAGTGTTAGCGAGAAGTTCATGTGTGCAGCTCTCCCTAAATGCTGTCAGCTATGCTATATGGGCGCTTTGTGAAGTAGGCGATAAGCAATCTGCTCTAATAAGGAGAGTGAATAAAGCAGAAAGTGTTGTGTTGTAGCTATGCTCCAGTGAGAGTTATTTGGATCATGTTTTACTCTATGCACATAAATAGGCAACAGCCCATGTTTTTTTTGTTATTAGTTTGTTTGTTTTACGTCATATAAGTTTAAATGTTGAGTTAAGTTTCTATGATCTCTTTGTTTCTTAAAAAAATGATCAGATTTCAGATTGGCTGAAAGTGCATCAATATTCTTTAAAAAGGCAACGACACTACTCTATAGCTTTTGGCGTTTTCCAGCTTTAGAAAAAAATTAATTTTAACATAGATAAATAGTTTAAATATCACCTTAGAATACTACATCATTTCATGTTAGATTGTAACATTTAAACAAAACGAAAACGTCATAGACTCCCAGATGGCTGTCATCAAGGTTGCTGATCCTTTGAATCCGATCCAAGCCTTATATCTTCAAGTGATCCTGTGGATTCTTGTCGCTTCTAACCTTCAAGTTATAAATAAGCCGTCTGTAGTTTTGGTTTTCATAGCTACTTTTCTAATTAAATATCCTGCTTACATCGACATAGAGATCTCACAGTGCCATAAGTCTCTTCTTTCAACCGTTATTCTGCAGTTAAGTACAATTATTGAGAAATCCAAAGATGAGACAAACCACAGTTAAAAATGCAAACAAATGAATTTAATATCTCTTCCAACTATTCCAACTATTTACAATCATTTATATAGTTTGAACACATGAACATGATCCATATCTTTGTATTAATTATTCATCTGATACTAAGCAGTTAGTGGTGTTTATTTTAGTGTGAAAAAAAACATCATTTTATTCTAGCTGAGATAAGCATTTTACAATATTCAGAGAAAGATTTTTCCACTTGATTTGAAGAGAAAAGTTTTCCGCTGAAAATAGTGAAACCTTCATCAGCAAATTACATTTAATGCTCTTTTTAAGATAATATGCATTGGACTTTATAGTATCTGAAAAGACTGTGAAAGTATGTTAAAGTTATATTTGTGTAGAGATGTTTAGAATAGCTAACAGTCATCGGCAAGCATTTAGAGCGGCATGTTTGTTTTCATCTTTCTCAGTCGTCTCTTTCTCTTATCCAGACTGTGCTGCTCTCTCTGTAGCTCCTTTTGAATAAAAAAACAAACAAGAGAGACACCCAACCGACAAGATCCAGTATAATGGCCTGGAAATATTTGTTATGTATTTCAATTATTCTAATAACGTGCTTTCAACAAGCGGAGCACTTTTGAATTTTTACAAATTGTATTTTGCTATTAAATCTCTTAAACATAAAACATCCTGATAGCATTTTGGAAATGATATTGACATATACACCTCTTTTAGACATTTCCATTACATTTTACCAACAGAAAGTTAAAAAGTAAAATATTTGAATTTTTAATTACTATTCTCTAGCATGATTTTTAGTACATCTTACCAGATGGAAATATAAACTTTTTAGATAAAGAAACAATTTTCAAATACAGTACATGTACTGTCTGTCTTCATAATTAGTAAAAATGCATTATTATTTTCTATTGTAAATTGGGGATAAAAAATACACTATGTAAAACTGAAATAAAAACACATTTTCGTTTACATGATTTCAATCTTCCCCTAGCCCTTACAAGAATATTTTGAACATTATTTCTGCTTGTTGTTAGTAAACTGTAAATCAGTTGCGTGTTATACACCTGAGCCACCACAATGGTCTAAAATATCACATTCGTTTTAAGTCAGTCGGCACTACTCTAAAGTTAAGAAGCAGGATGGATTTGTAGATATTTCTCTGTCTGTTTGATTTCCAATAATAGCCAGACAATGTTGAAATAACTGCTTGCATAAAGTAACAATTGTACAAGGATGTAGCTGGTTTAGTGATATTTTTTTTACCAGAAATCACTTTAATCTTGGACTTAAACATTCTCTGTTTGATATGGCTTTCAAATGAACCGTGGTATGAACCTCACTTTCCGCCTCCCAAAATGGCATCGGGTAGTGATGAGCCTTCTCATCGCTCTTTCAAGGCTACACTGTAAACACGCTACACTGTTTTTATTCCTTAAGAATATCACAGACAGAGAATCAAACCGTCTTCAGTCAACATTTAGATTCCTAATACTCTGTGCGAAATGGAGCCGCAGAGGAGGAGACTTCTTTCATTAGACACTTCACTAACGCTCTGAAGTTTGCTCCTTCCATCTGAGATGACTTTAAAAGAGAAACAATGCCTCTGCCTATTGGGGTCTTTGGAGATTTTCTCTCTCATCACATATTAATGAAAGAGGTGGCATGTATGGAGTTGGAGAGATTAAGAAGGAAACCTGGTTGCGAGCAGCTGCCTTTATGTGCACAGATATATGACAGACACACACATGTTGTGATTATTGTTTTTCAAGAAACTTTCCAGAATCTTCTAAATTTAACAAGCATTGATACACATACGAGGATGTATAACATCTGCCTGTAGAGGGCACACTTCACCTGAGATGCTCCAGGGCTACACCTTCTAATCTCTCTCTTTCCCCACATAAACAATATTCATTTGAGCATAATCATCTTATATCAGCCACAGAGACAGTATGAATTAGAGGTGAGTTCATGCCAGTTATTTTGATGAATGTAACGTACACCACTTCCTAACATTGGCCTCTATTCCTCCTTTAATGAGACGGGCCCATCAAGACGGAGCGGGGGCTTTTTGATATCCTCAGAGGGGCATGTCGCGCAGAAACATTAACGCTCATAATTCATAGCAAATCAAGAAAGATTTTGTTGGAACAGAGGATCACACCAATTACCAGTTGTTTATTGTTTGCTATTGTTGTGTTTACTGCAGTCTAATCACATTTGGAGGTCGGCCACAGCACTACATCAGCTCCAAGTGGAAAGGCTCTTTTGAAGCCTTTCAATTCGTTGTGCCATATTAGCTGCACTGAGCAGCCCTAGACAACATG